ATGAACAGGACTCCGGCTCCCAATGGATTGCGGATTTCGCACACCGCCCCGCTGCCTTGCAGATCAGGCTTTGGCTAACCGAAGGCTCCGGTTGTGGATTCCTCAAGAAAATTCACCTGTCTTGGCCTGGGCAACCTGGTAGTATTCAGCCCATATGCAAATCACGGGACATTTTTCTTTTTATAAAGATTATTTTACTATAATTTGTTTAGCACATAATCTGGATTCAGACGTATGAAAAATATATATATATATATATCATTCCAATATTATGACGATTAAGTGGCGATAAATCCAAGAAAGAGAAGCAATCTTGTTTGGTTATCGGCTACTTTCAGCAGGTGAAGCATCGACATACGCATTATGTAATTAGCGCTTATGTCAGGGGTTTCGAATCGAATATAGCTGCGAAGCAAATAATGATTCGCGAAAGCTCTAACATACTTTAGTTATTGTCGACAACTATCTCAACCTCAATAGCTCAGGATAGGTTCACTTTATATAACCATCAATTATAACATCTGGTAAAATGGAAACGATTACCTATCCGGCTACTTGGCATGATTGGCGAATCTGCTTCCGTTAAGAGATCACTCACTTAGTTAGTTATTGCATAATAGATATTTACATATATATGTTTATGTGATAAACCGACCTAGGAACAACAATACTTATTTTCCATGCATGGAGAGAAAAACGAACTTTGGCTTTTCTTATGTTACACGTCATCTATCCGTTACTTAGTCGTAACTGTTATATAATTTGTACTCCTCGTCAGTTTTTAACCATGCAACCCTGAACACACTTTGGTGGGTTGTTAACCAAGTGCAACCAGTCTAGATGTGCCTGTTGTCCTCTATCCCTAACAAAAATGGAGTAACCTTCATAAATCAAGGTATTGCATGAAGAGCAAAGTGGTTGATTACGTGAAAAAATTCAACTGGCATCGAATTCGATGATTTACCAGAGACTTACTGGAATACAGAGAGAGTGACAAGAACGATTTGAACAACGGAACCAAGGCAGTGGATAAACCGCAAGCAAGCAACATGACCAAGTACAGCATTAATGCGTCCACACATTCGCGATCGGCCAGGAGACCGACTACAACCTCTCCGATCATATTTGCTCCTCCGAGGACAGAAAAAAGTAGAGCAGCTGATGTTTCACTGAGTCCCAAATCCAAAGCATGCACTCCCATGAAGAAATATGTCACATTGTACCAAAAGTACAGAAGGAAATTGGAAAGCACAAACAAATCGAAGGTTGACCGACGAAACAGCCGTACATCACACAAACGCTGAAATAGGTATTTGGCGTCCAACTCAGGCAAAATAATTTGACATGGAGCAAAGCATTTCGAGAGAATGCGAGCACATATGTTATCTGCTGTGTCCAGGTCTCCACAGCAATACCAAGCCGAAAATGACGAGTCCGACGAACTGCTACTACTGCTACTATTACTTGGTCTTCGGCGAATGCGATGCACTCTGGTCAAATCCGGTAAACTCAAAGCGGTGCAACGGGAGGCACGATTCAAACCGAAAGCTTTGATAAGCGAGCTCCGGTACAAATAGTCTGCATGCTCATACGTACTGTTGTGTACCGTTATCTCATCTCCCATCCCCGACGCAGCGCCACACAAAGCTAAGTCTTCGTTCGTGTTTTGAAAGTACGGGTGGTTAAACGCTTCGAGCGGTTTACTCCGAGTTGCGGTCTCAATCCAATTACGGCAATCTATTTCCTGTTGATTTTGTGCGGATGCTAAATGCGCGCATCTTCGTCTTGGCTTTGTTTTCGTATATTCTGATTTTTCATGTGCGTTATTCGTCAAAAACGCCTGAGGTAACATGAAACCGATCGGAGATGGATTTTGCTGTTTCTTTTCAGAAAACAATATTTTAAGACACGGAAACGATTTCGTATGTCTTAAACCGGTCACATCTTTTTTCTCGCAGTATACATCACCTGAACGGAAGAATCTAATATCAACAACTGAATTTCCAATATCTGGTGGTTTAACTTGTGTGAGATAGTTCCGAGATTCCTGCGATTGATGAGGCGATGCTGAAAAATTACCTGATTCCTGCCAATAGATCTGGGTATTGAACACAGATGCATAAGGTTTTATGGAACCAAATGGGTTCTCAGAGATTTGCGAAGGATCCTCGGGTATTACAGCCAGCGGTGAAACTTGAGGCATAAGTTTTGACGGCCCATGAATGCATTCAGTAAGTGTAACCTCAAGCGGATTAGGTATACATGAAATTCCATTCGGCCTAATTATCCCACGCTGTGCTTCTTTTGCATTCAAGCTGCCATTCTGTAAAGCCTGGACTCTGTTGACATTTGACTTTGTTGGAGCCAAGAGACGATCACGCAGAAACTTAATTCGGCCAAGAACATCGGTATTAAGATACTCCGCTGATTTGGTGAGGTGAGGCAAACCAGATTCCTTGGCAAAATGTTCGAGCCAGGCGAGTCTTTGACGCTGACGTCTCTCACTTCGAGTCTCGACGGGCCTCATCAAAGCCCCGCAAACTGCTATATTTAATAGTGCCCCTGCCATTAGCATAAATGTTCCACGCCAGGTGTATATATTAAGGAAAGCCTCGACGGCGGGAGCAAAAACGAGAGCACCAACCCCTGTGCCTGCAATTGATAATCCCGTTGCTGTAGCGCGTTTGTCGTCAAAATAAACTGAAACGATTACCAAAGCAGCCGTCATGCTGAGACTGGTACCTATTCCGGACAGAATTCCAAACGTAAAGACCAAAGTCAATAGGGAATTCGCAAAGCATCCAAAAAGGCATCCAAGGGCACTTATAACAGCTCCAAGCATGCAAGTAAAACGACATCCATAATGATTTATAACAAGAGAAGAGATTGGAGTTGCCAGGGCAGGTACGCCATAAGAAAACGACCCCACCCAGGAAGTCGCACTCATTGATTCTTGGAACTCATGCACCAGATCTTCTATAAAGATACCGAAGGAAACGATAACGCCTTCTGTAACCATGTGAACAAAGAATGCTGCAATGACGACAACCCAACCCCAGCCACCGTCCGGGGGCTCCGGGAGAGAAAGCTGGCTAGCTGATATCGGAAGGCGAAAGCTACTTTCGGATGATACATCGGACTGTGATATGGATAAAGATGCAAAGTCTGTAGATTTGGAATCTTCTGATGGTGTTGAAAGACAGGGTAGATACCGCGCAAAATTTGAGTACGGGGGCGAGTGGTAAGGACTATATGCCACTGCTCCAGTGTGAATGGCCGTGTCTGATAAACTTCGGCGCAAATGGCTCACGTCCCGAGTCTTTAGAAGAAATTCTTTCCTTTCTTGTGAACCCCTTTCCTCTGTTCTAAAATTTTCATCACAGACCTTTACCAAAGCACTAGGCAACGAAACTGTGAAAGACCTCATATCTTTGCGATGCTCATGATGGTCACCACTTGAACCAATTACTGGTTTCCAATTGATCTTTCCGAGATTGCTGGCAACATCTCTATTGTCATGTGTGCTTCCACCAGCATGCGCATCAAATCTTTCAGTGGGAGAACACGCTAGGTCCATTTCGTATTTTGGCCCAAGGCCAACCGGCTTTTTATTGAACTCTAACCTTGAAACAAACAATGGTGTGAAGTAGTGAAACAAAACAGGATCAGACAGAACAGGTCACAGAACTTGCGGTAGAGTAAGCACCACTTCAATTTCTTGCATAAATGAGCTTAGGAACGCCACCGCGCTGCGACAGTTGTGCATTTTCGCGCAATTAGGCGTGAGTGAGTGTGGTTCGCGAAA